AAAGTTGACCTGATTAAGGAGTTTTTTTTTTTTAGTTTCAATGCATGTAAAAACAGTAGAGGATAACCTTGACATAAAAAATAAATAAATATAGCTCATTTGGATAAACAATATATAATTAAAAGTCCATGCTGCCTGTTATCTGAAATGGTTCATTGAATCTGGAACTACAAGTAATTGGAGCCAGCCATCTTCTTGGAATCTTGACTATTTCCAGTGCTATAAAATTAGATTTATGTAATAGAAATCTTTCCAAGTCACAGGTAAACGTGCTTACTTACACCTGCTACCCTTTTCACTTCAGTGAACGCCAAGTTGCAAAAAAAAAAAAAAAAAAAAAAGAGCAAAGAGTACAGAAGTCACGGCGTAGCCAAATGTCCACGAATGATACTAAATGCTAAATTTCTTTCCATGATTTTTCTCCCTGCATGACTGTGGGAATTGAGGTGTTTCAGTGTTGTCTGAGGTTTGAATTTCATGGATAATAATATATTTAGTTCATTAAGTCTTTATTTTTTTTAATATAGATATGAGGTATTTAAATTTTTTTATGTCTTTATTCATGAAAGAGAGTGAAAGACATAAATTTTATATTAAGTGTTCAGGATTTTTGTATTCTTCGATTATTAACATAATAAAACTTTATTCTCATTCTTAAAGTAGGCAATTTGTCAAATCACATAAATTCTGTATATTGATAATTTATTTAATTTTATTTTTTTTATTATTGCTTATTATTATTTATCTTGTTTTCTTTATTTATCATAGCATCCGGGAAAAAAAAATCTCTACAGCATTCCTAAAAGATTTATTTATTTACTTATTTGTAGACTTGCAATATGGTGATTTCAACCAAAAGATGCTTTTCTACAAAGAGGGAAGCATTCCGCTTTGGTAAACCTTGGACAAGTTTTTAAAACTAGCATTGTTTGATAGTGAGAGAAAAACAATTATATTCCTTCCCATTTCCTCAAAAAGAATTTACGCGCTGTATGTTTACAATTTGTTATCAGAGAAGAGAAGCAAAGTTAAACTTCTCAACTAGCTACTGTTACTAACGAAGTTAACTAACAAAGCTAACAATCTGACTAACTGACTAATAAATAATTAGTTACATGTGAAACTTGTGTGGAATCCACGAAAGCAAGTGAAGCCACATTTCATAAACTATAAGGAAAACTGATATAGATGCCTATTTAGCACGCAATTATGCAAATAACAAAGATACGACCACATGCGAGAATTCTCCTTCACTGTTCAGCATATGATTGTAATAAAAAATGAGTACAAAAACCTGCCGGAAAGGAATCAAAGGGAGCATTTAGTCATATATATATATATATATTTGTTACCCCAAAATTTGATTGAGCTCTGACGGCCCAACAAATTTTTTTTTTTTTTTTTTTAAAAAAAAACTTAATAAGACGTTGGCTAGAAAGTCCACACCACATGCTATTAAAGGCAATTTGGAAGATCAAGTTCTATTCAAAAGGACAGACTAATAAAAAAAGTAGTTGGTTCAAACATACTAGAGCATAAGTCAGAAATAAGAAGGACGTGATAACATGGCCACGAATAAGCTAAAATACTAGAAGACATAAAAGATTGCAGTCCAAGGCAAACGTGAAGCATTGTAGATTAAGATGAGAAGTTATGAGGTTTTGAGAGGATACAGTCCAAAACGTGGCCAGTAAAGAAAGATGGCGGACCTACGTTGTGCTTCCTATAGAAAATAAGTTAAAGTCAAAATGATATTTAGAACTAGGGAATGCATTCGGTGTACTCTGCATCTTCCTCGCGGGATGGCGTCCATGTCATTGTAGGAAATTGTTGCCTTTCAAACTGTTCGAAAATTAAAGATTGGAAATTCAACACATATCATCGTGACCAATTCAATTTAATAAAATAATAATAATAATATAAATGAATAAAAAGTGATTATATGGATTCGAAGAAATCTTATATACTTTATTTACTATAAGAGAACATTGTGATTTTTATCCTTAAAATTCAATTTCAAAGCCACCTGTACATCCATTATCACACTTAGAAAAAAAAAAAAAAAAAAAAACCTCTCAACCTTTGTCTTCTTGTACCGTAAAATTATATATCTACTCACTTATTTATGATGACCAAAATTATTAGTAGGTAAAGAATTTTTTTATGGATAAATAATCTTTGGTCATAACACTGTCCTTTGAACTTTTTCATTACTCCGAGGAATATGAGTTAAAAGCCCAACAATATCTAAACAATATCTACCTTAGCTAGTATTATTACCACCTTAAAGTTTATTGGCTCCACGTGTTCACAAATATTATAAATAAAAAAGCAAAAATAACTATTAATTTTAAAATTTTAAATTTAAATTAGTCAAAATGATATTTTATCTTCAATACAATTATGGCAAAATATAAATATAGAGATTGTTCCAAGATATGTCTTGTCATGAGAGAATGATAATTAATACAATTGAGTTAAATATTAGTTTTGGAAAGAAATAGGGCCTAATTATTGGTGTTAATTTTAAGCTCTTCAACAAAAATAAAGCAAATGAGCTTAAGTGACGACCTATAAGATAGCAATATGAAAATCTCATAATATCTCTAGGGTAGTAAAACCGTTTTCCAATGTGCTTGAATGATAATTATGGAAAAGAATTTTTTCATGGACAAAAATCATAATTTGTATTTGAAGGGAAAAAAAAAAAAACCACTTGTGTATAGAGTGATAATACTTATTCTTACTCTTTCGGTTTCTACGGCTATCATAGAGCAGTCATTTTCAACTATAAGCATAGTCAAGATTAAGTTTCGTAATAAGATGGAAGATAACTTTTTTTTTCGATTGTTTATTAGTGTATATTGAAAAAGAAATTGCTGAAAATTTTAGGATTGATTCGCTTATAGATAATTTTCGTAACTTGAAAGAACGAATATATCTATTTTGAATTATTGTATTTTGAGACTATTTTAATATATATATAAGTTTGTTTAAACTATGATAAATTTATAAACACTTATTTTGGCCCCCATGAACATTTGGTCATGCGTCCATCATTGGATGTAGAAGAATAGAAAAGATATAAATACCAATTGCAACCACACCGTAAAAAAAAAAAAAAAAAGAAGACAACATATACGAGAACAATACTCTTGCAAATTATTAGCATTATCATTCAAATCGTTTCAACACTTAGTTTATTAAGCTATAGTTTGTAGGCGATGAATCGTAGACTGATATATTATCTCCAGCTTGATTGCCATTTTGGTTGCAACGCACACAAATCTTGCCTTTCAATGTTTAGAGTTCTAATTCAGTTTCAATATCTATAAATTTTTATATTTTTAGATTATTATTGTTTGTAAAGACTTTTAATTGAGTATCTATCAATTTTAATTTCTATTCAACTTTGTAGTTTGTAATTCATATACTTGCTATTAGTTTTAGATTATTTGATATTGTTAATTGCATAATTGTTTAAATATTAGTTTTCAGTTACTATATTTGCTATTCATTTGTGTTCCAATCTTGCAACCCAAATATCATGGGCAGCTAGGAACCCATTCTAAGATATTCTTAGGTCATTGCATTCCAGTTTACGTAGTAGTTACTTTTCATTTAAGTGTTTAACTGTAGAGCAACAATAGGATCATCTTGTTTAATAATTCTTATCGTCTAATTTAGAATTTAGAAGAAAGACTACTCTACAGACTGTTTACCAACCATTTTATAATTTTTTTTATTTCAAAATTTTCTCAATTGAGGCTGACATAAAAAAAATCCACAACAACTTTATAACAAGAGAAACATGTAAAGGACGTGCTAATAGATATTCAAATGACTAAATTTTCTAACATTCTGTTATACCTAAACTTTGGTTTTGGGTTTGTAAGCACAATAAATTAAGAGAAAACTGATTACTAGGCTCATGTACATTCAAGGCCCAATACTTAATCCAAGCCCAACACCTGGCTTAAGTCCAATAAGTTAGAATATGTGAAACAATAAACAAAATTTGACTGGATTTTATGAAAAAATTCATGGAATATAGACTCTTAGCACAATTAAATTTCATAAATATAAGAGATAATAGTTCTAATAGACAAAAAGTAAATCAATAACAATTCACATAAGATTTATATGCCGTTTAATTTCAAAATTAGCAGTATAAAAATGCATCTTTCATAGCTAATAAATTTAGGCAGTTTTAACTACAAATTTTATAGTTGACGCTACTATAAATAATTAGCCTTCCAACGTTGCTGCTTGCAGCTTGGCCTACCTAGGCAAATTGCCAACATTTTTCCGGAGTTTACAAACTGATTGCAATTCGTTTAAATTCACTTTAATTTAAAGAAAATAACAAAATTATATTTAGAATCAGCAATAAAAAAAATATATAAAATTGTATAATCAATCCATAAACATTAGTCTAGAAATCAGAATGCTTTGCATATCAAACCACCTTTTGTTTTTTTATTGCATAAGTCTTTGAGAATCAAGATAGACACAAAAGAACCCATGAAACACAAGCAGAATCCATGGTTGGCTCTACGCTACATTTTGCTTCCTAACAAGTTGACTATGAAATCCTATAATACAGATTCTACCCTAAGAATACATCAGTGCAGTGCTCACTGCAGGGAGAAACCAGGAAATAAAAAAAGAAAGATGCTATTTTGCTTTTCATTCTGACCCATCCAAGAACTCTGAAGCTGATTAGTCCACACAGGCTTAATCACCTTCATACAATCAATAAGTATTTCAGCATGTCCTCGAATAGTGTTGATTACTCTATCATCTTTTTGTTTACAAGTATGGTAGCCCCAATAATTCATGAAAGACTTGGCCAACCCAAAAAGAAGCAAAATGAAACGAAAAAATGCCAACGATATCTTTGAGCCATTTTCAGCATTACAGACCCAGTGGATAAGTTTGTATAGCTACCTTAGCAGATATATTGGTCCCACTGCTTTTAACATGGATAGTACTTCAAGTTAAACTTCTTTCCTGAAATGACCAAATCACACATGCATTAGAATGCTGGAAATCATGGTCTTTGTGAAATAAACAAGAGGATGCGTCTAATTAATATATTTTCCTCTGCTGATTCAGGAAAAAAGTAAGTTACGTACTTCCTCTTTCTCCGTTCACTTCCACTGCTCCTGATATCACTTTTTACAAAAGCAGAACCAGGAGGCATGCCGTAAGGCATGGGAGAAGGGACTGCACCAGGAGCAGCCGGCATACCAAGAGTTGCAGATGGCATGGGTGGCCCAGATTGAGCAGGAGGTAAAGGGGGAGGACCTGGAGCAGGGGGTGCAGCGACAGGTTCAGGGAGGGGTCTGGGCAAAATATGCTTCAACCGATTGTTTCTGTAGTTCTTCCAGAAAAAGAATTGTTGCCTATGTGCCAACTCCTAAAAGATCCAACTATCAACATGTGAGTCCATGAACAAAAAAAACTCAATTTTGTGCAGATGTTATTCTAATATATACAGATTTCTTCTCTGAACTACAAAGATTATAAGAACTTTTTGTTAAAGCCAATCACTTTAAACTGGTATTCCAAACAAGGCCTCTTGGAGTACATAGAATATTTGTGCTGGGTCATCACTAACTCAAAATGCAAAAAACTGACTATAAGATGTGTCTAATATTGACCTTCATTAGAATGCTTGATAAGAACCTCAGACCATGGTCAGGACAAAACTAGACATTGTGTAATATAACCCTCGAAAGACATGCAAGATCGACCAAGTAGTCACATCAAATACTTGTGGAATAAACCTCGAGCCAGATGCTACCATCATGCATGCAAATATAAAGCAACAATGAAAAAAAAATTATATCATAAAATTCATCTCATCTCGTGTTCAAAGTAGGAGCTGATGCATACACACACACATAACTAGGATAAACAAAAATCTCAGAAAGGCCCTAGTCATTAAACAATATTTCAGTAAAAACAAGATATGTGTAATTGACAAGATCATGCATGCAGTTGATCTCAATTATCTATTTATCGCATCAAACCAATGTCAAGACTGAAAAGAATCAGAATGACAAAAAAAAGGTTGATCAGAAAGCCAAAATCTAACCTTGTTGCCGGGATGTGCCATTGCATTGCGGAAATTTGCATTTTGGAGAAGTTCAAGAAAATATAGGCAATGAGGATACCTGAAACAATCCTAGTTGGTGAGCTCATTGATCAAAAGGTAACATAAAATGCTAGAAAGGGAAAACAAAATATTCTACTACAGTTCATCTAAAGACTGGTCATTCTCTTGATCTCAAATTTAAAGTTAGTTGAAGTAGCCAGAGGCTCAAGCGATAAAAGTCATACTTTTATGAGATTAGCTCACATTATAAATTTCATGTACTCTGGTCGCTGCCAGTACTGTAGGTACTTCAAATAGCCAATAAACGCTTCATCTTCAAAATAGCGATTCTGAGCCAAATCTAAATATTAGAAAGAGAAAGAAAACAAAGAAAGCTCAGCATCAGGTTAAAATGCACAATGAGCAAAAACACAGTAAACACCCAAGATAGCATTAAAAGCTGAAGATGTAGAGCAAGCGGGGACACACACACGTACACATGAAACACATGAAACTAACACTCTCTCTCCACTATCACGATTGATTATAAAACTTTAACAAGAACAAATCAATACATGATGCACTAATACATACAATCCAGATACGAGCTTAACCAAAACAAGCACAGAACATGGGACCAAAAATTGGGCACAAAAGAATCCAAACCCTTTCAAATATTACGTGTAACGAAATCATAAACTTTCAAAACGAAACCCCACCAAATCCCCACAATTATTCACTTTGGAAACAGTACAAAATATGCAAACTTTCAAAACCCCTGCAAACACAAAAAAGAACAATAACAACTGAAAAAACAAAAACTAATAAGAAAAAGAATTTAATGAACTTACAATGGATGTAAGTGGGGTTAGCAAGACATTGAATAAACTCCAATTCCAACAAAAACCGTTGCCTCCCATCATCTGGGTCTTTATATATCTTCTCTGGCCTGAAAATTATTTCAAACCCACAAAAAATTAGAAGAAACTAAGTGAGCCAAAGTTAAAATAATAATGATGATGATGATGATGATGATGATGATATCTTTGAGTGAAACATAGGTACTTACGAGGATGGAGTTTCGGAGTTATTTTCAGCTTCTTTAGAAGAAGACATCGAAGTTTTAACTACAAAAAAAAAAAAAAAAAAAGTAATTGGACAAGTAAGCGTGGAAGACAAAGGTTTAAGGTTTTAGGAATTGAAGGAGGTAGGAGGAAGAGCAAGAAAATTACCTGAATTTGAGATCACTAGAGAGTTTAGGCCTCGAGACGTCAAGGGAATTGAAAGAGAGTGCGTGTGTTAAAGGGGCTATTAGGCAAGGGGGTTTAATACTTGAGTGCTAGAAGGGCTGGGCTAAGAGCCTATCTCAACCCAAAGATGTTGGGCTTGAGTTGGGTTGAGTTTCTGCAAAGTTTAACTGTTTAAGAGTTTGGTCCAAATTTCAATTCCATAATTCTAAATTCCCTGAATCAATTACAACGGCAGAAAATAGAAGCAGACAGGTAAGTAGGGCTTACCTGACTTCACATTCATAAATTATGTTAACCCATCATAAAATAATTGTGATTTCCACTATTTTGTAGTAGTAGACTGATGGCGAGCCGGAATTATGCAATAATTTCTCGCAGGCTGACCAGACACCAGTAAAAAGCAGTTGGTTTTACAAATGTTTACATTTAGTAAGTTTTTTTTTTTTTTTGGACTGCAGTATACTCATAGATCACTTATGGCCAAAGGCTGCATCGAGGAGCCGAAACCTAGCATCTTGTTTGCAAATTATTAAAAATAAAAAAAAAATACTAAAGTGTAGCTTGGCTATTAGAAATAAAAAATCCGAAATAAGAATGTTAGGATAAAAAAAATAAAAAAATCAGAATAATATTTGCATTCTTATATTTTGGAGTACTAATAAAGAATTAAAATAAAATATAGCTTTTCTAATATCTATTTTTTAATATGAATAAAAATAATAATTAAAAAATAATTTCATCAATTATGGTAGTAATAAAAATAATAAAGGTGATCGTGATAGTGGTGATAGTAGAGTAGGAGGAAAATAAAAATGAAATGATAGTAGTAACAATATATTAATAACAATAATATATTTTTTTTAAAAAATTGATACCATTATCATAAAAGGTGACAATGGAAGAAGAATTGCCTCGTGGTGACGGTAATAATAATATAATAAAAATGATGGTAATGGTTATGGTGAAAGATGAATGATGATAGCATAATAATAATAATAATTTTTATCACCACTTGGAGATTGTGGTGGTAGTGGTTGTGGTGGTGGGTACACAATAAATAAAAATAATATATTGTTATTTTGAAAAATAATCATTTTTTTTCTAGTTTTTATTCCCACTTGCCACTTGAGAATGAAATAATGTGTAATTTTTATTTTTATTCTCACTTCTCATTCTCATTCTCAATTCATTCATTTCAACTAAACAACACTTGAAGGATTTGAAGTATTTGTCATTCACATAAACTCAAAACGCTATTTAAACACGATTTATTGACCGATCATTTAGACTTATATACACTATATAATGGTATTTTTGTGATTTTAAGGATTGTAATTTGATGCTTAAATTCATAAATAGGAGAGAGAAAGTCACATTTGGCTCCAATTTGAGTGTCTTTGTTACATATCTTGCATTTATGTTGTTTATTTGGTGAGGAGAGTGTTCATGATGGTCTTAAAATAGTTGAAATCGATAGATTGAAGCTTAAAAATTTTGAATTTTTTTATTTGATATATATATGCTTTTTTTTTTAATTGTTATTGAATTGGGTGCAAAAATTATAGAAAATCAATTTTTTTTTTCACACGAGTCGATGATAATGAAATATACATGATATGTTTTCGTAATTTAGAATGAATAAATATAGGATTATATTCCTCTTATCATTCAAATTTGATTTTTTATAGTGTTATTTTTTATGAAAATTATCATGAAATTAATTTTTAATCTTTTTTATAAATTTTTTTGTTAATAAATATGATTTATTTTTATCTATGTATGAATTTTTTTAATAAAATTTTAGAATATAGTTATTTTATATTTTATCAATGAATATATATATATATATATATATATCGTATAATATTACTTTTATTGTTTAAATTGACTTTTTTAATTTTTCATTTCTTATGAAAATTCTCATAAAATTAATTTTTTAATTTTTGTATAATTTTCTAGTAAATATGATTTATTTTTCTTTATGTATAAATTTTTTAATAAACTTTTAGAATATTATTATTTTATTTTTTAAAATATATTGATACAATTCATATGATCAATTCTTATGATTTTTTAAATGAGGGTGTTAAAACACTACATGTATATTTCGGATAATTTATCTCAAAGATTCTAAAAAAATCAATTAAAAAATTGAATTCACGTGTTTTATTTGCTTCTTCTTTATATAATTAAAATTTTTTCAAAATTAATTTTGTTTTTTTTATTCAATTTATTGACTTTAATATATTTCTTGTAATATATTTATTTTTTTAATATTTTTTATTTATGTTGCACTCTCCAAATCCACCAAGTATGGTCAATGATGTATAAATAAAAAAGCTGAGATAATTTGTTTTACTAAAAATCAATTATGCATATACATACATAACATCAAACATTTATTATTAATTTTTTTAATGTTTTAATTAGTTTGAAATTAGTTTATTTTAAATAAAATAATCAAAATAATATTTTAAGAGAACCATGTAATGATTCAAATGCATCTATTTATAATAATATTGTTGATTATTTTGTGATTATATATATATGTATTGAGAAATAGGGATGGAACCCTGTGGAAGTATATTGATATTGTGAAAAATTATAAAAAGGGACAAAACCAGCTTATCCCAACAAGCTAGGAGGACAAGGAATATATATACATCAAATGTATATATATATTTTTTAAAATCTTCCCATCAACGTTAAATAAATTTTTTTATATTAATTGTTGATTTCTTTTTTCAATGCAATCTTATGAAAAAATAAATTAAGGGATTTTTTGAATTAAATATTCTATTTAGATTATTGCAAGTTTTTATTTAAAAATCAATACATAAAAAATAATAAAATGTATTTTTCACCTATAAATTTATGAAAAAACATAAGAAAGAAAAAATTATAAAATTAGATTTTTTTTTCTTGAATTCTATATATTTTAGTAGACATGCAATGTGATATAGAACACAATATCAGATTAAAATTATATTTTTAAATAATTTTACATGTTCTATTCGACCCGCTACATAACACGGACAACCACCTAGTAAAAAAAACTAAAAGAGTTAGGATGGTTCATTATTCACAACACTATTTATTCAGACGTTTGTGCGCTATTCATATAGACCCATGTATACTATTTATTTTTATTATGCAAAGGTACTTTCGTGATTTTTGGGTTTTTTAGGACATTTGTATATGAATTTTATATTATATTCGATTTTGGTCCTTGGTGTTTCCCAAAGCGTTTTTTTTGTTTCATTTTTTTTTTTTGGTTTCATGTTTTCCAAGCAATTTATTTTAAATTCATGTACAAAATTTACGTTATGTTCTATTTTGGTCCTTAATGTTTCTAATATATATATATATATATATTTTAGAAATTTATTTTATTTTTATTTTTATCATTGAATTGGGTGTAAAAATTTAGAAAAACTAATTGTTATTTGTTTTGATTTTTTACACTAACTAGCGATTATAAAATATATACGATAGGTTTTTAAATTTTGGAATGAACATGTATATCGGATTATATTAATTTTACTATTTAAAATTGATCTCTTCAATTTACTATTTCTTATAGGAATTCTCATCGAATGTTTTTCTTTTTTATGTAATTTTATTTGTTAATAAATATGATTTATTTTTCTCTATGTATGTATTTTTGTACAAGTTTTTTTTTATCAAAATAAATAACCAATAAAAAAATAGAATTTAAGTTTTTATTGCTTATTCTTTATATAATCAAAATTTATTAAAATCAATTTTATAGCTTTTTTTATTGTAGTCTATTAACTTCAATATATATATATATATATATATATATATATATAATCATTAATTTTATTCAAAATTAACTATGCACTACACACATCACACCAATCATTTGCCACTAATTTTTTAATCTCCTAAAATTAATTTTTTTCAAGTAAAATAATTAAAATAATGTTTTAGAATAAACACCTAATAATTCAAATATAGTTTTTTATACTAATATTATTAATCCTTTTGTAAATATATATATATATAAATCAAATGTATATATTTTGAAAAAAATTAATCTTCTCATCAGTTTTTTTTTTATTTTTTAAAAAGATTCATTTCTTAATTTTTTTTACAAATTTTTACATTAATTGTTACTTTATTTCTTCGACGCAGTCTTTAAAAAATATTGAAATATTTTTTAAAATTTATATTAATTTTTGTATTTTGATTATTACAATTTTTATTTAAGAATAAATGCACAATGAAAAACAAATTGTGTTGTTCTATTTTGGTCCTTGATGTTTCTCAAATATATATATATATATATATATATATATATATATATATATATATATATATGCTTTTTGTTTTTTTTTTCAGCAATTTATTTTTATTTTATTTTTTATTATTGAATTGAGTGCAAAAAATTAGAAAAAAATAATTATTTTTTTCTGATTTTTTCACACAAACTAATGATTATAATATACGATATGTTTTCACATTTTAGAATGAACATATATATTAGATTATATTAATTTTATTGTTTAAATTGTTCTCTTCAATTTGTCTGTTTGTTACGTGAAATTCTCATGAATTTTTTTTCTTTTTATGTAATTTTATTTGTTAATAACTATGATTTATTTTCTCTATGTATGTATTTTTTTACAAGTTTTTTTTTATCAAAATAAATAATCAATTAAAAAATAGAATTTACGTTTTTATTGGTTATTCCTTATATAATCAAAATTTATTTGAATCAATTTTATAGTTGTTTTTATTGTAGTCCATTAACTTCACTATATATATATATATATATATATATATAGTCATTAATTTTATTGAAAATTAACTATGCACTCGCACATGTAAGACCAATCATTTGCTATTAATTTTTTTAATATCCTAAAATTATTTTTTTAAATAACATAAATAAAATAAAATTTTAGAATAACAAGCTGATAATTCAAATTTAGTTTTTTATACTAATATCATTAATCATTTTGTAAATAAATATATATAAATCAAATGTATATATTTTGAAAAAATTAATCTTCTCATCAGCTTTAAACATAAACAAAAAAGGTTCAGCTTTAAACAAAAACAAAAAAGATTCATTTCTTAATTTTTATATTAATTGTTCTTTAATTCTTCGATGCAATCTTATAAAAAAATTAAAAATTTTTAAAATTTTATATTTAGATTATTATAATTTTAATCTAAGAAGAAATGCGCAATGAAAAACAAATTGTGTTGTTTTTTAACTACAAATTAATATAAAGAATAAATTAATTATAAAATTTTGATTCAAAATTATAAAATTAGATGATTTTTTTTTAATTTTATATATTTTAATTGACCATAAAAATTATGAAACTAAAATAAACATATTTTTATTCCGCTTTCCGCACAAAACAGAATCCTTTGCTATCCAAAGGTATTTGATTAGAATATTCAGTTCCCTGTTTTTTATTTTTTCATCTTCTTCCTTATGGATATTGATTTTGTGTGTGCATGCGTGGGAGCAGGCAGGCGCGTGTGAAAGAGATATTAAAGGGATATTAAAGCAATCCAAAGATATTACAGTCCACAAAGTCGGGCCAATGCATCCCCAACGCCATCCTGGTTTAAACAATCAAGAATCCTGGGAGAAAAAGGGATCGGGAAGACTTCATGGAAGAAGTAACCATTTGACTTCTTTTCTCTTTGGGTTTCCCAGTGACCATTTACTTTGTGATGCATGTTTATGAATTATGTGCCATTTCCCTTTATTTTAAATGCGGTTTTCTAACTTGTAGTCCCCCCACCAAAAAAAAATAAAAAAAAGACCAACCCTCCAAAGTCCAAACTGAATGAAAAAGGGCTCCCTCATTTTTTTTTTTTTTTTTTTTTTTTTTTTTTTTTTTGTGTATCAAGAGATCAGAAAGTCCATGGAGAAATATTGGATGCTCAAAACACCAGACGCAACGCATGCCTCAACATGGTAGATAGCCCTACTCATCAATATGAAAATAAGGGAACCAGCGTGGCATCTATAAACTGAAGAACAAACGAGTTGAGTTATAAACTATAAATGCATAAACGTCAGTTATTAATCCTCCAGTGTTTGAACTCGACCTTACTGAGAAACTCAAATCGGAGACCAAGTCACAATTACATGAAAATCATTTCCACAACATTTTGCACGTTTGGCACCCTTTGTCCATCCAAGGAAGTACATGCAAGATTGGGTGAACATAAATCCAGCACTCTTGCAAGCTATTGATTCAGATAAATCCGGCTGGCCTTTGGCATGCAAATGATGATACACTAGTCTTTCTGTCCCCCTAAATTACCACAATATTGATATGGCCGACACAAAGCATCAGCCAACTGTCTTCATACCACTTTGGCCCTACTAGCAGAATCCCTGTTCACTAGTATGGCCTGTACCGCATAGGTCTCCTGAACCTCGGAACCCTTCTGCACATAAGATTATTAAGGTTAATACATCCTGAAAAACAAATGATCAGATTGCCAATATAGAGATGGCTGGTCACAATCAATAAATGAATTGCTGAAAATAAAGACAACTAATATCATGCCACAGAAAGTAATCTATAGCACAAAATGCACCAGACCGAAATTAAAAACATCTTGGTGGAAACAATACAGCATACTTATGAAAGAAAAACACTACATTTCCTGTTTATCAAAAAGCAAGCCATGGTTTGAATGGCACAGGTTTTCCTTAACTTGGTCTCCCTCTATACAACAACAACAACAACAACCAAGCCTCAAAACTCAAATTAGTGGGGTTCAGCTATATTCCAAGCGATTCTTAACTTGATCTCCTTCTATGAAGAAATGAATTTTTGTGGCAGAGGGGGCCACTTCTGAAAATTATTAGACAGCCTTCCCCACTTTTAGTACCAGTACATTCTAGCCATGTCTAGGTGGGGAACTGTAGAATTCTACCTAATCAAACTGTAAGTGGAAAGGATACCCAACTAACTCGTGAATAGCAGTAGTCATCAACGTCAACCTAGCAGCTAGGCTTTTCATTCTCTCAATGCTTGTAAGAAGGTCACGTGTGTGTAGTCACAACCATCTTAAATGCATGTAGAGAAAAAAATGGTTACAATAAAGACACTCAAAAAAGAGAACTATGGAATATATACTAAAGTGAACCCATAAATTTTGCTAATCTTGCAATCAAAGGATTCATTACACCAAACAACCCAATCATATTAATGAACTACATCAGAGTTCCCATAATACAGTATGTAACATCCTAATTAACAGCAATATCTGCTGCTTAACATATTTAAAACTAATACCCTGCAAGGAAGATGGCAGTGTGAAAAAGTACACCAAACAACATATAACTTGGTAAAGAAGGTTTTGTAAAGGACACTGTTTAAAACCTTCTTCCCTCTAATTGGAGTCAATGCATCTTCATTCTCGTAATGCTGTTTTTAGATCTCAAGAACCGCTAAAAAATAATCAAATATTCTATTCTAAGAAGAAGAGGTAAAATGAAATGTTTCAAGAAAAAATATGTATATCAGCTAGTTTCATTATCAAAATAATTATCAGATAACAAAAATTTTATCAAGACACAAAATATTTTAGGTGCTTACCCATAACCATATGCCGGATAGAAGGGGGCAGGCATGAACGGCCTCCGGGACCTAAATCCATAAGGGCTTGCACGCCTTCCTCGATATTGCTTCATTCCAGGAACATTAGTTCGCTTAGCAGAGACCTGAGCGAGAATCATATCAGCAATTACAATCATATCAGGAACTTGGGAACTTATTAGCAGCTACAAATTATAAGGAGTGAAAAGCCCTCCAAATGAATTGGTAAAGTAGAACTCCTCCAAAGTGGAGGTTTTGTAAATGAAACCCTTTTTTAGGGAGAATTTTATCAGTTTAGGAGTAAAGAAGGAAAAAAAAATTAATAGAGAAGTCCATGTAAAAGTAAAAAACAAAAAACCTTTAACTGTCGGCCATGAAGTTCTGATTCATTTAATAAGAGGGCATTCTGAACAGCATCAACCTCTACAAACTCCACGTAAGCAAATCCCTTTGGTTGACCAAACTTGTCAGTCAAAATTGTCACTCTGTTCACAGTTCCACAGGATTGAAAATGCTGCTGCACTTCTTCCGGGGTACAAGAATAATCCACCTAAAGTTAAGAGCACAGATAAAAAGCAACCATGTTTTTCTGTCAGACAAGCTTCTTTAGAGCGTCACTCCTTGAATCATGGAATACACAAATGGTTGCAACTTGAATCCAAAGCAATACAAACCTAATTAATGATTAACAAACAAAAGAAATCAATTGCAACGAATAAGAATGTAAATTCATGAACCAGGATCCATGACCATAGACCAATATCTAGCAGGTGTGAAGGAGAACCAAAGGTTCACGAATGAGAGAAGATTTGCCCGAAAGGAAACAATTCAGTAAGCAACTAAACTGGAATATTGAATTGCATTGAGTACACAAGTTTTGAATCTGCAGTATATCCCCCTCATCAATACTTCTTACTACATCAAATCATCATTCAAATTCTTCATATGAAATCAGTTAAACCCCATCTATTTACCATCAGTAAAGAAAAAGACACAATTTTAGCACCACAAAATACAGACACCTAAAGACAGATAGACAGAGACAGACAAAACAATTGGACAGATCATATATTCTTAGTCATGTAATAAATATAAATATGACAAAATAAAGACAGAAGGATAGCAAACCCTCACATTACCAACATAAATGGATCGGGCATCCACCTCCTCCTTTTCAGCTTGAGTCGCAGAAGCACCTGAAGAATCTTCGCACATATCCAAAAGAACAAAAGAGCGTATGAGTCAATTGACAATAAAACAAAAAATTTTAAAAGAGTTACAAAACTTTACTTTTCCCTTAATTACAAATCATAATTATCCATATAAAACATCCCCACCCTACATCAACTAGTGTCCAAATCAAATTAAAAAAAAAAAAATTTCCCAACAACCAACTTAAAAAAAATCACAACCACAAAGCAAAACACAGCTTCAACAAATTAATACAAATAACAAAAACAGACCAAAACAAATAATCCCATCAAAGAAAATGATTTTCATTCAGCTATCACAAAAACACCTCTTTTCAGCAACTTAGTTACCACAACTGAACTCAATCAAATTAGTAAAACAAAAAATAAAAATATACCTTGAACAGCTCCCATCTCTTTCTCAACCTTAGCCTGCATTTCACGTAGTGCACCAGCTTCTTCTTCGATCTCTTTCAATCTTTTCTTCATATCCTCTAAATCCTATCAAATCCAAAAAAATCACCAAAAATAAATAAATAAATAAAATCTTAATAGAGTAATTAAAATTTCACAGAGAGAGATTATTATTAATATCGAAGTGACCTTGGAGTTAGGGTCTTGGTACTCGTCTTCTTCAGCTCTAGACGACATGTCAACATCGGCATCCATCTCTCCTTCATCGGGGATTTCTCCTCCGTACACCTCGTGCTCGTGCTCCTCCTCCTCGTGCTCGTGAAGGTGATCCATTGTTAGGTTTTTATTAGGGATTTCCTGTGGAAAGAATTTATTAGGGTTTTACTAGGGTTCCGATTGGGGGAAAAGAATTAGGGATTTGAGAGGATGGTGTTTGTGTATGCATCCGTGCGAGCGATGGATATAATAACGCGCTCGATTTTTTTCTGCTGGAGGGAGACAGGTTAATTTGTAATTTTGTGAATTTAACAAGGGTGTTTTTGGGCTTTAGGAACACCCAACAGTGAGGTCCAGCAGGAATTGGGCAAATTAATTGCAAGCCATAACATATTAACATTGCCCAATCAGTGAGAGAATTTTCATCCTTTTTGTTTTTTCTAATGAAAATAAAATTGCTATTTGGTTAAGAGGGAAAATAAATTTCTAAGTAAAAAAGGGAAATAGTTTTTTATTTATCTGGACATATTTTGATGGATAGATTGCACAGATTATAAGCATAAGGTGGTTATTTGGACATATTTTGATGAGTTTTAAGTTTGGGATAATATTAATGAGATAAGTGGTTTATATTTTATTAATTAATTAATTTTACGTTTGTTTCACATAAAATATATTTTTGTAAACTATTTTTCTTATTTTTTCATAATTGTTTCATCTGAGAAAACTTCATCAATATAAAATATGTTACAATTAAAAAAATAATTTTTAATTCGACGATAAAAATATTCTTAGATTAACTTACTAATCAATTGAGAATAAAATCCTTTTCTTAACAATTTTAAAAATCAAACCCTTTGCATCGGTGATTTAATGTATTTAAGAGAATAAATTTTATAGATATTAACCTAATATTTAAACCAAAAAAAGTTAAGAAAATGAACAAATTTAGACCAACTCTCTTAGGCTAGAAAAAAAATGTTTAAAACAAGATAAAACGACTTAAATTTTTATCATTAATATTTTACAATAAAATATTTTAGGAAATTGTTTTTCCTTATGAATCATGGGTTACACTGCTAATTAATTATTGTCTTTTAAACAAACACCAAGTAATTATTCTCAAGTAGTTTTTATTAAAATAATCAAAATTATAATATTTTTCAAAGGATAAAATAGTTTAATTGTTCTTATATAATAAGGTGAGTTTTCAATAAGTCATTGTATCCTCAATTGAGCAAATGCTATCCTTATAAAATAATTAAACTTCTAATCTATCATTTTGCTATTTTTTTTAAAAAAATTAGTATAATCAATCACATGCATAATTTAATATTATATCAAAAGCTACAGTATCAACGACGGAAGACGAAAATTAACCTGAGAGAGAGAGGATAAGGAAGGAGATAGTCCAATGTGACTTTTTTTTTTTTTAAAAGAACTTTGTCTATTTATCATGTATTCTGCATATGACTAAAATGACCACAAAATTTAAAATTATTTTCAATATAATATTAAGCCATGTGCATAATTAATCCAGTTAATTTAAATGGAAAAAATTAATAAAAAAATCTTTATAAAGATAAAATTGATTTAAATAAAGCTGTAAAAAAAAAAAAAAGCTTATTTTTTATGCGGTTAACGCTTTAATTTTATACATACTATTCTACCATATATATATATATATATATAATTGATATAGTTATGGACTATAAAAAAAACTACATGACAAATTATATATCCTAATGGCAAGCATTTCATGGAAATAAAAAATCACAAACTTCTTATGCCCAACAATGAGAATTTTATGCTCAAATCTTCCCACCACATAAAGAATGTATGAGTGTTTTTCATGCACATAAAATGTTGCTGCCATTTCCCTTAGAGATGCCACGTGAGTCGTGACCCATGGCCTAAAATGAATGTTGATTCATGGTCAAATTATTGAGCTACTCTTCAATGCTAAAGGAATGATTAATCTATACTTCCATATGATTAGAAGTTAATGATGATGGAATTTAACAACCATCCAATTTTTAAAGACCAAAATGGATAAACCAAAAGAATTAAAGATTACTATATAATTCATTTAAGAGTCCATCAAAGTTGCAATCAATTGTATTTTTTATTTATAAAAAGTTGATTTCTATCCTATAGGAAGATAATGAGTATATTTTAAATTAGTCCCTCTTCTTTCGAAAAACAAATTAATTAGTCTCTCTTATTTTAAAAACTAATCATTTAGTTTCTTTACATTTTAATTTCATCAATAATTTAGTCATTTCATTATTTTTATTATTTTAATGATTTTTTTTCTCAAATTATCCTTCTTTTAATGCTTTATTTCTCTCATTTATCCATTTTTCTCTTTTATATATAAAAAAAGATAATTTAGAAACAAAAAATCACTAATCTAATGAAAAATTACTAAAAGAATTAAATTATTGACGGAGTTAAAATATTTTATTTTAAATGATTAGTTTTTGAAAAAAAAAGCTAATTAGTTTATTTCTCCAAACCAGGTGGACTAATTTACTCTTCTTTTGATATTTTATTTCTCTAATTTGCACACTCTTTTTTTCTTCTACAAAAAATCAAAAGAAAGACAGTTTAGGAACAAAAATCACTAATCCAGCAAAAAATTGATAAAAGACTAAGTTATTGAAGTAACTAAAATATTGAAGATTATATGATTAATTTTGAAAAAAAAAAGACTAATTAATTTGTTTTTCTAAACAAGAGAGACTAATTTATAATTTACTCGGAAGACACTGTGTGATATATCAATTGATTTTTCTCTAAGAGTTTAGATTGTCAAATGTTACGTTTAGATTTAAAAAATGGATTTTTTTAATGAGACAAGATAAGCATAGTTAATTAAGGGACTGCACTTGGTTATAGGTTTTCAAAATGGAAGGACTAAGTTAACATTTCATTGAAAACATAGAGATTACAGATTAATTACATTTTTTTTGGGGGCCAAGGTCAAATTATCTATATATGCTCCCATCATCAGAAACCATAACAAGGAAGAAGACAAAGAAAGTAATCGTTAAAACCAAAACAAAGAAAGGTATTTCAGCATTGCATTGTGAGTACTATTAGGAAAACTAACTTTCAGCAATGGTATAATTAATCTTCTCTCAGGATTCCCATATATGTCTTCAGTAGATGCTGAAACAGACAAAACATGGGCTTTCAGTTCTGCAATACTCAAATCCTGTCTTAATCTGTATTGCTTTTGCTTCTCTGTGTGTATAAATAAGCCTTAAAGCATGACTCATCTATAACATCATTTTTCACACTAAAATCAACCATGGAAGCAATATTCAGCCTAGACAAGCTCTCTTCTACAACTGCAATTAGTCTGGCCATCCTGACAACCTTCGTGGCAATGATATGGACTTACAGATTCTCACTAACACAAAGGAAGAAGCTTCCTCCAGGGAAATTAGGACTTCCTTTCATTGGAGAGTCAATAAGCTTCATTCGAGCCCATAAAAACAACAACATAGCTAAATGGATTGAAGAGCGCACCACCAAGTATGGACCGGTATTCAAGACCTCATTCATGGGTGAAAAAGTGGTAGTCATGACTGGTGAAGCTAGTCATAGGTTCATATTCAGCGGCCGCGATAATGGGATTGCTGCCAAGCTAGCAACCTCTGCGTTGGCCATATTAGGAAAGAACAACATTTTTGATCTTTATGGATCTCCACATAAGCTGGTTAGAAGTTCAATAATGAGCTTCTTAAATTCAGAGTGCATCCAAAGATATGTTAGCAAGATGGATTCTTTGGTGAAGGAACAAGTCTTGCAGGTAATGGTAATCAGTACCCTTTAAGATTATGGTCTGAAAGAGAGTAATGCAGGAATCAATAGAACCCTTGATAATTTTTTTTTTTTTTTTTTTGACAATTGCAGGAGCTAAATGGTAAAGAGACTTTGCAAGTAGTACCACTGATGAAGAAGATTAGTTTCATTGCTACGGCGACTTTACTTTTTGGATTGCCAGAAGAGAAGGAAAGAGATGCATTATTTAAGGACTTTACAATTGCTGTTAAAGGTATGTGGTCAATTCCTCTGAATCTTCCAGGGAGTACCTTCCGGAAAGCGGTTCAGGCTCGAGGCAGGATTTTCAAGCTGTTTACTAATCTAATTGCGGAAAGAAAGAAAGGATTAGAAGATGGAAGCTTGGGTTCTCATGATGATGTTATTCTATGTTTGCTTAGTCTGAGAGATGAAAGTGGAAAATCTTTACCAGAGGAGGAGATTATTAACAATCTCATTGCTCTAATGATGGCAAGCCATGACACCACTTCAGTTCTTCTAAGCCTTATTGTCAGGGAACTAGCTAAAAATGCCAGCGTTTACGACAAGGTGCTGGAAGGTAATTGAAATCTATGTTAATTAATCCAAATCTTTTGATCAAGTTTGATGAGTAGTATAATCTGAACCTGATTGTAAAATTTCTGAATGTGGATAGAGCAAAATGAAATTGCTAAAGTCAGAGCAACTGCAAGTGATGGACAGCTTGGGTGGAGAGAAATCCAGAAGATGAGGTACACATGGAATGTTGCTCAAGAGCTCATGAGATTAACACCTCCAATCATTGGCAACTTCAGGCATGCTTGGAGAGACACCACTTTCAATGACTATGATATCCCCAAAGGATGGCAGGTTTGGCCAAAATCCTATATATATCACAGCAATGACGTTACATCTGGACCTTAATTTTAAGACCTAATGTATGATCAATTTCAGGTGTTCTGGTTGGCTACTAGCACACATTTGGACAAGAAAATCTTTGAAGACCCAGTAAAGTTCAATCCGTCGCGATTCGACACAAATTCGAAGTCATCTGTTCCTCCATACACATACATTCCTTTCGGAGCAGGCCCGAGAGTTTGCCCTGGCGCCGAATTTGCTAGAACAGAAGTGTTACTGATAATTCATCATCTGATAACAAACTACAAATGGACTGCAATGGTTGAAGATGAGCAAGTTGTACGTGATCCCATGCCCTTCCCAAACAAGGGCCTTCCAGTCAAGATATATCCCAAACACAACATATAGATTATAGAACACAGATTTTAGGCATCAATTGTCAGGTTTAT